TCCAGCCACACTGATGTTTTTTCTATTCCTTAAAACAAACCAAGACAATTCCTTTTGGAGGGCTTTCTTGCTTTTTCCTCTGCCTGTGATGTTCTTCCTCTGGATCATCCCATGGCTCCCATGTACTTCATTCAGGTCTCTGTTCAAATGTTTTATCCTCATAAGAGCCTTTAAAAATTCTGCTTCTCATCATTCGTCATCCTCTATGCTGCTTTATTTTTCTTCCTGGTGTCATCATTACTTCCACTTTACTACATATATATTTGTAGATTTTTATGTGTTTTGTTTTGGCCTTTCTTCCCAGCTAGCATATCAACTCCATGAAGATAGAGATTCTTTATGACTTGTTCCCAGTTGTGTCTTCAGCATCTAGAATGTGCCTAGCCCATGGGAGGCCCTCGATAAATATTCACTGAGTAAATGAATGTACAAATGATCGCCCTGCTTCTGCTGGCCAAAGCATGCCTGCACCATGCTCTCTGGGGAAATGTTGAGACGGAACTTGAAAATCTTGTCTTCCTCAATCATCACTTTTAGGAGAAGATAAAGTCTCGGATGCCATTCAGATTTGGTCCCCAAAGTTGGTTTGGGAAAGAGATCGGGCTCCGGGCTTCTAGGAACACTCAGACACGGGTAGTGTCAGGAAGCAAGGCCACTCTTTGAAGCTGGATTCTCTACTGCAGGGCCCCCCTGTCCACAAGGGGACATGGCTACAGTGAACCAACGTGTAGGAAGCAGTCAATTATAGGAGCAAAGACACAGACTTTGGAGATAGACAGGCTTATGTTTTAGTCCTGGCTTTTTTAGCTCTGTGGTTTTAGGCAAATTATTTGACAGCTCTGAGCCTCAGTTCCGTCACGTATAAAATGGGGATAATTATATCTTCATCACGGGGTTGTAGGGATAAAATGAGATCACGCATGTCAAATGCTTAGCATAGTGCTCAATGGATGGCAGCTATTATTAGAATTAATTAAGCAAAGAGAACCTCGGAGGAGGATAGTCAACCAGGGCAGGGCTTTCTTGGCTGAACATAGGTAGATAACATAGGTGGACTATGAGCTCAGCTCAAGCAGGGTGGGGTCAGCCTCCTTGCCCGGGGAACACTTGCCTTATCCTACCTGCTCTGGTGACCTTTGTGGGACAGATGGGTGGGGCTTACAGACACCTGGCTCAGCCTCATGCTCAGGAAAACAGCATAAAGAGATGGCATCAAGAGCCTGTCCTGGCCACTAGCTCTTCATAGTTGCGATTCCGGTCTGAGGCCTTGCATCTAGACAGGCTTTCCATTGGAAGGCAAGGCGAGGCTGCTTCTGGGAAAGCCATGTTTTCCGGCACTCGCCGCTAGCTCAAGGCACTGAACCTGGCAGGGGAAGGCAATTCTGAACTTCCCCTGCACTGCCAAACAAACCTATCTGGAATCCCGTTTTCTTCATTGCCACCACCATTGCTCAAGAATTTGCAATGGTTCCCTATTGCCTGTGACCATCGGCAAGTGGCCTAACCTTTTGGGACCCCAATGCTCTTGTTGTTATGGAGGGATGAGGTGGACTGGAAGGTTGAGCTGCAATTCTGTTCCTCTAGCAGGTCAAGACCAAACTCTCTATGCTTCCATTAAGGCCAACTCCATCAGTTCAACTTTACATCCCACAACCCCAGTGCCTGACCTTTCCTACCCAGCCAGGCTGCTCCTCCTTGATCTCAAACACCCTGCCTGTGCCCATTTTTATGCAATGTCTTATCCCCTTCTCTCTCTCTGGGATGTCTGCTTTGTCTGTGTTTCCAAACTTCAGTGCTCGAATAGTAGAGTGGTTAAGAACAAAGGCTTTGGAGAGAAATAAACCTCGTTTCCATCCTCTGCTTCCTACCTTGCTATGTGGGTAATTAATCTGAGGCAAATCTCTGAGCTTCAGCGCTTGCAATGATAAAATAGAGACCGTGATAAATCTAGGGTTCGAAGGAGTAACGGAGATGATGTGTTCAGGAGGCAGAGCACCGTGCCTGGCACACAGGAAGTGTTCAGTGAATGGCAATCATTACTGCATCCCTGGTCCTCTCTGCCTCTTCCAGTTGGGTCCATCACCCCGGACCCAGCTCAAGCCACATCTTTACCCTGGAGTTCTCTCTGTCCCCTGAAGCTCATGGTGGCCGCTCCCGTCCTGAGTTCTCATGGCCTTTGACTCTGGGGCCGGGTGAAGGCACTCATCAGACTCTGCCTCACAGTGCAATGGCTTCACGTGCGTGCAGCGTCTGGCCACCTCAGGAGTAGAGACACCATGATTTTCATTTTTACCAGCTTCCAAGGTACTGATAGAAATTTGGAGATACTCAATCATTCCTTTTGAATTAAAGGCTTCAGATATCACACCCATGTTATCAATTTCCCAATTCCTAGATTCACGTTGACATTCAGGAAGGTGTGAGGGTCTTTACATTGGAAATGAAGGTCTCCCCAGAATCAGTACTGAGGATGGCCCATGCATTGTCAGTCACGGACCTCTTAAAAACCCAGTAACTAACGCTATAAAACTCTTAGAAGACAACCTAGGGGAGAATCTACGTAACATTGGATTTGGCGATGAGTTTTTAAATATGACACCAAAAGCACAGGTGTCATATTTTATTTATATCTAATTTAATTGTTAAGTTAAAAATGGATAAGTGGAGCTATGGCAAAGCCAAAAACCTGCATACCTCAAAGGACACTATCACCAGAGTGAAAAGGCAACCCATGGAATGGGAGAAAATATTTCTCAACCATATAGCTGATAAGAGGTTGATATTCAGAATAGAAAAAGATGTCCTATAATTCAACAACAAAAAACCCAAATAACCAAGTAAAAAATAGGCAAAGGACTTGAATAGCCATTTCTCCAAAGAAGACACACAAATGGCCAATAAGCACATGGAAAGATGTTCAACCTCACTAACCAATAGAGAAATACAGATCAAAACCACAGTGAGATACCACCTCACACCCATGAGGATGACTCTTATCCCAAACCAGAAAAGAACAAGTGTCGGTAAAGACGTGGAGAAATTGGGACCCCCTGTGCACTGCTGGTGGGAAGGGAAATGGTGCAGTTCCTGTGGAACGCAATAGGTAGGCTCCTCAAAAATTAAAAACAGAATTATCAAATGATTCAGCAATTTCACCTTTGGGTATATTAACCTCCCCCCAAATTGAAATCAGGAACTCACACAGACATTTGTATGTCCGCGTTCATAGCGGCATTATTCCCAAGAGCCAAAGGATGGAAGAAACCCAAGTGTCCATCCACAGCTGAATGGATTTTTAAAAAGCCGCATGTGCATCCAAGGAAATATTAGTCCACCTCAAAAGAAGAAAATCCACACACAGGCTACAACATCCATGAACCTTGATAATGTTCTGCTAAGTAAAAGAAACCAGTCACAAAAGGACAAAGACCATATGATCTCACTCACATGAGGCACCTAGAGTCGTCGGATTCATAGAGACAGAAGTTAGAAGGGTGGTTGCCAGGGGCTGGGGGAAGGAAGAATTATTTTTCAATAGATATGGTGCTTCAGTTTGGGAAGATTAAAAAAAAAAGAAGCTCTGGAGATGAACGCTGGAGATGGTTGCAAAACAATGGGAACATGCTTCCTGCCACCAAATTGTGCGCTTGAGAATGGTTAAAATGCTAAATTTTTTAATGTATGTCTATTTTGCCACCAAAAACACTTGTCAAAGTTCAAGGCCATCTCAGGAGCCCATTTGGGCTAACATGCGGGATTTTACCTATTATTTCAGGAAGCTCACAACCTTCTTGGCTTCATCTGTGGACCCATTTAATCCCAACATTATGATGAAGCCAGTCCCGCATGGCCTGAGACAATCTGCAGGTGCCCTGGTGGCAATCCCTGCCCACTTAGGTCTCTGTTAGTGGTGTTCCCTGCGTTCCCAGTGACTTTCTTTTTTATTTATTTATTTATTTATTTTATTATGTTATGTTAATCACCATACATTGCATCATTAGTTTTTGATGTAGTGTTCCATGATTCATTGTTTGTCCCAGGGACTTTCTTTGCAGGAGCCCGCTCGGCTCCAAGGAAAGAGGGAGAAGGATGCAGTCTGTTATTTGGTAAAGCCACATCCTTAAAGGAACTCAATGCTCGTATAGATATCTATCTGCCCTCTCCTCTGAGAATCTGTCAGTTAGAATACAACAGGCACAGGCTCTACTTTGGGGGGCTGTGGCAGGAGCGGGGTGGGGGGGTCTCGCCTAAGTAGAGCATCTTTAATGTTCCTTCAGGCCCTTTCCAAAGGCCCCAGGGGCTGCTTGGGGCCAGCTCAGCTCCTCTCAAGCTGTCAGGCTACAGTGCTTCCCATCATATTGCAGAAGGCCGCCTTGGGTCATATCTTGCAAAGGAAGAGCTATTAAAAAATATTCCATTTGTATTTCCTGCGTGGCCTTCCATCTGGAAATATCTTTTATCTGGCAACTTTTGCAAAGTGAACTGAATCTTGAAGGAGGTCCTGGCAGGTTTATGCTGGCTTCTCTATTAGTCCAATAAGTCATTTTCATCCTAACCTTCACAAGGGCCGAGTAATCGTGACTTGGTGTCGGAAACAGGACTGGCATGGGACGGCAGCAAGTCTTTCGGGCCCTGAGGCATCTTTTTAACCCTGAAAACACCCACTCAGGGCAAGAGCAAAATCTAGAAAATTACTATACACACTCTCTCTCAGCTCAAATGTTACTTCTTCAAGGAACCCCCCTACCTCCAGCCTCCATGACTAGATTAGGACCCCCTCCCCCCGTAGTCTAATTTCACTCCCAGTCTGGATCATAATTTATAATTCCACATTTAGGGATTGTTAAAGTACTGTCCGGCTCCCCCAAAGACTGCAAGCACCTTCTGCTCAGAATTGAATCCAAGAGCCTTGCTCAGTATCTAGCACATAGTAAGTACCCAATAAATATGTACTGAAAGAATGAATGCATGAACAAGTGAATGAATGAAGCTCATCTTACCTGCCTCTCCACCAGTTACTTCAAGTCCCGGTTGCAAAATATCTCCTTCTCAGGACTGTTGTTACTGAAAGAAAATGACAGGAACCCTCTGGTAGGCAGCTAGAAGCAGAATGCAGGGAGGGAGGGAGAGAGGACCGGGGAGGGGTCTTTATCGTCAGTTAGAGAAATGTTTCCACGGGTCCTTGATAAAGTAGGGACAAATGCCCCCAGGGCCCTCTGATAACTGTGTGTCCTTGATAGTGTGGCTGGGTGGGGCAGGCGGAGCTTTGGCATTAGGGCAAAGGGATGGATTCTAACGGTTTCTTCACTGGTTGAAAAGGCTGCTTCCTGCCCAACTTTGTTTTTCTCTGTTATGTACCCAGCTCAGCTTATAAATGGGAAGGAGTGGCCAGCTTCTCCCAACGAGCCGGGCAGGGGGTAGGAAGGCTGGTGCATCAGAAACTATGGCCTTTCAAGTTGGGTGCTCCGGCCTGTCTGACATGGCGAGGCTTCTGCCCGTGTCTCACACTTTGCAAATCTCACATCACTTTGGGTCACAGAAGTCCTCCCCCCACGCCCAAATTAGAAAGGGCAAGTAGCCAGGCTCCCATCTGATAGGGGAGGAAATGAGGCCAAAGCCCTTCCAAATCTTAATCCTGCTGAAACTAGAGAGCCCTAGGACACTTATTCATTGAACCCTGGCATTCTTGCTCAGACGAAGGTCTTTTGAGAATTCATTTTTCAAGACGAAGTGTTTCATTAGGCAAAAGTCTACTCAGAGGCCATATTAATTACATAGTAAGTGGCTTTTGTGGGATTTGTCTTTTGAGTAATTCAGACAAAAGATGACAGCTCGGGATAGATGGGCCTGCTGCTGCAAACAATAGCTACCTTTTATTGAGCACGTATTATGTGCCAGGCTTTTATATGTTTTATCTTCTTTATTATTTAAGTTTTTTTTTAAATTTATTTGTCAGAGAGAGAGAGTACAAGCAGGGAGAGCTGAAGGCAGAGCAGGTAGGGGGAGAGGCAGGCTTCCCGCTGAGCAGGGAGCCTGATGCGGGACTCGATCTCAGGACCCTGAGATCATAACCTGAGCTGGAGGCAGACGCCTAACCGACTGAGCCACCCAGGTGTTCCTGTTTTATCTTATTTAATACTAAGAACAACACTCTGAGATCAATAGTACTATTATCCCATTTTATAGATAAGGAAACTGAAGGTCAGAGAAGTTCAGTAACTAGCTCAGTGTCACACAACTATATAAGTGCAGGAAATGGGATTTGAACCTAGGTTTTCTGACTCCATACTCTGACTCTCACTCACCATGTCAGTGTTTCCCAAATTTCCTGCATTTGCTTTGGCCCACACCAAATCTACCAGATCAAAATCTCCAGGGACCTCAGAGAGTCTCTCTCTGGACACCAATCTAAAGTAGACGTCTCCCCAGGCACCAACACACCACTACTTTATTTTCATCATTGTACTTATCGCTACCTGATATTTTCTTATTTGTGTATTTGCTTATTGTCTTTCTTCCCCACTGAGTGACAAGTTCCTTAAGTGCAGGGACAAGGTGCTCAAAGTTTTATTTCCAGACTGCTAAATAGAGGGTAGTACCTTGTAAGTACTCAATACATACTTATTGAATAAATTAGCTGACATAATAAATATGTCTACTAACATAATAATAAATAATAAGTTATATTAAGAAGGATACTGAGGGTGCCTGGGTGGCTCAGTTGGTTAAGCGACTGCCTTCAGTTCAGGTCATGATCCTGGAGTCCCGGGATCGAGTCCCACATCAGGGTCCCCGCTCAGTGGGGAGTCTGCTTCTCCCTCTGACCTTCCCCCCTCTCGTGCTCTCTATCTCATTCTCTCTTTCAAATAAATAAATAAAATCTTAAAAAAAAAAAAAAAAACCCCCTCTCGTGCTCTCTATCTCATTCTCTCTTTCAAATAAATAAATAAAATCTTAAAAAAAAAAAAAAAAAAGAAGGATACTGAGTCTGGAGCCAGGTTCTAAGGGAAGAGAATCATTATTACACACCAGTGTCTCCCAAGGCTATGAGATGTGGAAATGTTGGCACATAGGCCATGTATTTGCCATCCCGGAGAAAGAAACTCAATCCCAAGATAATTAAGTGCAAGATGACACAGCAAGTCAGTAGGAGAGGCAGGTATAATGTAGTCCCTTCCTTCATGGATCTTTATCTTTTCCTTGGGAAGTCAAAATGAATACATACGTGATGGAGAACCAGTACACGATTAACAGTCAGGTGCTGACCAGAAATGCAACCAGAATGGATTAAAGAGAAATTAGTGGGAACAGGAATGGACAGCTCTCTGCGGGAAGGAGAAATTTAGTTGCCCCTTGAGTGAATATCTGGGAATTTCCTTTGTGTCAGACTTATACTATGAACTTTCCCTAGAGTGGGTAATTACTTTTCCCTTACAACACCCTAATGAAGTAAGTAGTGTGATCACAACTTTATGGATGAAGAAACTGAGTCACAGAAAGGCTAAGAAACTTGCTCCAGGTCACAGAGCTATAAGGACTGAGTAGGGATTAACAGCTAGTGATTCCAAAGCCAGTTCCCCTCACCAAGCCTGTAAGCAGAGCAGGTGTGCCCAGCAGAAACAGCCTGAGTAAGGGTCTCGGTGAGGAGTCAGGAGTTGGCACTGCAGTTCCGGGGTAGCGATGGAATAATGACAGGTTCAGGTTTTCTTTCGATATCGTCACGGTCCAACACGGCAACTTGTTTGCCAAATGCACCACACCCGAGCCATGACCGCAAGCAACTTATAGGTTTGTTACCGACTCTGGCATCGGCAAAGCTGGGGGAGTCCCCGGGTGAGGCGCCCAGTGACAGAGGACTCCTTGACACCTGTGGGGAAAGAGCGTGATCCTGGGGACACAGATATAGGACAGGAACTCACCTGTTGAAAAATACCGGGAGGCGGTGGAGGGGGCAGATTAATTTCAGGCAGTCTTTTGTGAATCTGCTTGTTTGTAGGCTGTACCCATTTGACATAGCCTGTTCAGTATGTCAAGTCCCCTTGCTGGAAGAAGGGCCCCCCGGAACAAGGTCACTCCAGCCTGCAGGGGACATCCAGTTCCTGGGGAGCTCAGGGTACCTTGTGCAAACTGGTTTTGGTTTTGGTGTTGCATTTGTGGGGCATTTTGGATGACTTTGCCTGCGTTATTCATCCATATAAAGCAGGAAGGTCCCCTGAGGGCATGTGCTCCCAGGCAGCTATCAAATCACCTGGAGCTAGTGTGTTACCTGCCAGGCTGGCTCTAAGGGATTTTTGCCCTTCAGTGAAAGCCTCAGAGGCTGCCTCAGTTTCTGTCACATGGGCCCATAGAACCTTGGGCATTTCCTCTGCTGCCTCTGCTATTTTCCTTGTGTAATCGTGTTGTGAGCCCTTAGCCCCAGTCCTCCAGCCTCAAATGTCACTATTATATGCAGGGCAGTGGGTAGGAAAATGGCTCATCACCTCCGATTGGGAATTGGGACCAGCAGGGTCCCATCACGGGGCGGTCGGTAAATGTCGAGGAGGTGGTCAGAGTTAGCAGAGTGTGCAGCTGAGTTTGGCCACCAAGAGGGTGTTACCTAGGGGAGTGGCACAGGTGGACCAGCTTCCCTTTGGGGCTTCTAATCACTCACGTTTCTTTAGTATCTGGGCCAGCATAGGGCCATGAGTCTTGACATGCTGTGCAGGCCTAGGAAGACACAAACACACGCATATGCATTTGGATAATTGCATGATCTGGACTCATGGGCCAGGGACCAGACTTGATACCATCAATCAATGTCCTGTCCATCTGGTCCTGGGTAGCAGGGGCCCAGACCAGTAGCATTACTACTAGTGGTTCTGTGGGCCTTTTTCGTGAGTTTGAGGTCATTCAGCATGGTGCAAATTAGAGGGTGGCTTGCTCATGGGGTCAGAGCCTACCTGACATTGTGTGAGGTCTAGCCATTGGGATGTGGCCTTGACCATGTATACATACAGATTAACCTGGGGCTAGCCTTAAGCAGTAAGCTTGCTTTGGGAGGTCTGGAAGGGGAAGGCTTAGTCATAGTGGAAATGGGGTTCATTGTGCCCTGTGGGGAGGATGGGACAGGAGAGAGTTATAACTTTGGGGGTCTGTCTGGTGTTCACCTCTTGCCAGTGTGTGGTCCATGCTGCGTGAGGGATCCCCAAAGGGGAAGATGCCTATGCTCTGGCAGGAGGCCCGTTGGCAGATGATGCGGGTAATAGGGTTATTATCCTCTGAGAAGCAGTGGCTGGCTGGGCCATGGTCATCACCTGCCAAGTGGCATTTGACTCCCTGGGCCAGAACAACTCTTGAGCCATGTCCAGGTCATGGAGGCATGTGTTGATATTGGGAAGGCTGTCACAAAGATGCACAAAGCAGGAGCGCTGAGGGGACATTGACCTACGTGCTAGGCAGCCAGCTAGGCATGATAGCTGGGGCACAGACAGCCTGGGCTGGGGAGCTCTGAGAGCACAGGACCACGCTCCTTTTTGTTTCTCCTAGTGGCTGCTCAGGGTCACGTAATGTGCCTGGCCTGTGGTGTTGTGGAAGAAGAGTTATGCACTCCAGACGGAGATTCGACTGAGGGTGCCATACTGCCCAGGTCTCCTGGCATGGAGTGGCCCAGGCCACGGCCAGTAGCCGTATCAGGCACAGCCAGCTACTGATAACCTAAAGGTTCCACGATAACATTGTCCAGTGTTTAGACTCCTCATTCAGGGCTGCTTTTTTTTTTTTTTTTAAGATTTTATTTATTTATTTGACACAGACAGAGGAGGTGGGGAGAGAGCTAGCACAAGTAGGGAGAGAGGCAGAGGGAGAAGCTGGTTCCCCGCCGAGCAGGGAGCCCGATGCGGGGCTCGATCCCAGGATCCTGGGATCATGACCTGAGCCTGAGGCAGCCGCTTAACCGACTGAGCCACCCAGGCGCCCCATGGCTGCCTTTTATAAGGCTGTGGGGCATCTGAACCCCCCAGCTGTGGGTGGCTGGCCTCGCTTCAACTTCCTATCATGGAAGTAGATAACCTCAGGTATGCCATTTT